AACAATTTTTAATCGAATTAATCGAAACAACAACGAAATCGATAATTTGCAAGAACAATAATTAAAGAAATAGAGAGATAGAGAGAGACACACAAAGATTTATTTAGGTAGTTCCACAATCGGCCTCGTTATGGATATGTGTGCCTTTTGAAATCAAATTGAGATACTTGCAATTAACCTTATCTTTGCAAAAATATTTATACAAGAGGTGAAGAATTTTAACCCCATAACCCCTATGGTTTGTTGTTGATTCAACCGCCTCCAAACCCTTTATCAAAGCTTGATCAAGTCACCAACAATGTGGCTACAATCCTATGATTATCTCGAGAATGCACTTGTTGAACCCAAGATTCCCGAACACGAATCATCGTCTCGCGCTACTCCCTTGTAAAGAAACCACCTTGTTCTAAGGCCTTCACTCAGTCGAATCTGTGTTGACGTGATCTTGTCTAAAAGCCTTCAAATCACACTGATTTTGAAGGAAACCCCTACCTTAGTTTTCTTATTTGAAACATACAAAGATCCCAACATAATACTCTCGGTTACACCAACCTAGTTAGATATTATTAACCCTAATCTAGATGGTTACCCAATCGAAAAATGATTATGTGTAATTCAATTGTGTGTATGCATATAAGAGAGGTTGAAGATGATGGGAATGCTATATAATCTGGTTTCGTTTAGGTAATTCACTAGTACCTTGGCTAGAAGAAGGTGCATGTATGATTATATATAGGTACGTGTAGAAAAATTAGCAAAAGGAATGCAATAATTTTGAGCAAAAATGAAACTTTTAAGATAGAAAATCGTATAGGTCAGTCTGTCAAAGCAATAGGTTGTCCTGTCAAAGCAATCAGGTCGGCCAATGAAGGTTATGTGTTGCCTATAGCTCAACCTATGTGAGGCGACCAGTGGACAGAAGCTACATGTTTCAATACTTCTTCATTGGAGCCGGCCTGAAATATTATGTGCCGACCTATATTGAATCTAAAAGTCATATAGGTTAGCCTGTTTCTGCATGTGTCAACCTGAAAGGGCTTGACCACCCAAAAATAATGTTTTTCAATGCAAATTTAATGCAAGCTTCTTTCTAAATTACTTGAATGCTTCCTAATACTAAGATGTTCATCTATAATGGGAGGATACCATTCAATATACATAACGCTACACTATCCTAGTTTTGACATCACTTAAAATACAAAAGCACTCACAAGTATTGGAACATGATGTTATCTGAAATGGTTGCCATTGGTGAAAATGAAGTTTTCTAAAGAAAGAGTGAAAGGGTCTGCTATGCATGAAAAGCTATGGAAAGAGTTAAAGTGAAATAGAAGAAGAAGAACAAAGAGCTGAAACATGGTAGTTATAACCCTTTTGATGCATGTCCTAAATTGGATACATGACATCTGCGTGGAGTTTCTAAAACATTTTCATGGGTTACGAAGCAAAGCATTGATATGAGTGGGGGTAGTTATTGCAAACATGCAAACATATGACCTCCTAAGAAGTAGGAGTGATGATGAGATTCTGAACAGATCTCGTGGAAAATGAAAATGCATTGTAAAAGGGGAAATGATGACAATGACATCAGCAGAAGTGAAAGAATTATCGAAAATACAATAAAAAATGGCATGTCTCTCTTGTTTGATCCAAATCGAAACATGGCATTTTGGGGGGCACAATTTGTTACCTTGGATTTTTCGACTCAACTATAAATGGCAAGTAAAGAATAATAAATGTGCCAAGAGTTGAAATTCAGTGGAGTCAAATAGAAACCAAGGGTTGAATGAATGTTGAAAATTATACATGGTGATGCTAGTCGAGCAACTGGAAGTCAAAGAACGATGTTAAAATTAGGGACTTAGTTAAAAAAATTAGTATATTGGTCAGTTGTCACTTGGTTGAGTACTATGTTATGCTGGTTAAGGTTAGATTTCATCGTTACAATGGAAACAATGTTGACTGGGTAGCGCATGTGAAAAGTGCTACAGAGTGTGTTGTTTCAACATTATCGATCCTAGTGATTTCGACATAGTAGGGTCAATTCTCGATGACCAATAAAAGTAGTTAAGATATTTGAATGGTGTTGAAAGAGCGGGAATTTATTTGACACAAAAGGTTACTCTAAGACACATGGAAGCTCGTCGGAGGAAACAATTGCATGGGACTGAAATGTGTCGTGATAAGATTAGTTGACCGTTCTTAGGTAGTTATTTTAGAGTAGTATATAAAGGGGATCATGTTCATATTGTAAAATGTATGCAATTGTACTATATTTCTGTAAACTCAAAGAATTTGCGTATTTGAGAAAAGAGTGAAGAAAATGTACGTATGTGTTCCATCATTTATAAATTTCTAGCATTTTTACATTCAAGTCTTTTTCCTTCATTAAGTTACATTTCAATTTCGCGTTATAATTCTTATTATTTTATTTTTTTCTTGCATTTCTTTTCCAGTAACTTTCATTTTCAAAATCTTGTGTTCCAATTCTTGTTTACAAGTACATCGTTACTTTTTCAAATACCATCTTTCAATTTCAACTGTAAGATGTTGTTCAAAGTTTTAAATGCATGCAAATATGTCCTAGGGAGAATTTCGAATTTGATCCCTTAGGTGTTAATAGAAACTTGTTTTGTTTACCAAATTTCCAAGTAAACACCCCTCCTAATTGTTACTTTTTATAATTGCACAACTATTGTCTTGTTAAATAGAAGTCCATATTGGAATCAATATCTTTTTATTATTACAATATTATCGGTACACTTGCCGAGAAATCATCATTAATATCTAGGAATAATACTTTATGAATGATTAGATTTTATATGTGGTGTTTGTGTAGTTAGTGTTCATTTTGGCAAGTTTTTTTTAAATGTTTTCTTAAATAGGAGTTTTTGATGTAATAAACACCAAAATTAATGAAAATTTGTATTAATGTTTTAATTTCTTTACAAGCAAGTTTTTTTTTTAACTTTTTATTGATGAGAAAGGAGAGAAAGAAATTATAATGTCAATATGGAGATAAATAAAAAGTGATATAATAATCTGTAAATTTGACCTAAATATTAAATAAATATATAAAATTGGTTTACCCAAATGTTTTAAATCTGGGGCTAAAGAGTTTGCCAACACACTACAAATAAATTATTTTTATTTTTATTTTTAACTTGTCTTAAATTTAAGATGTGCTTACAAACCTAATTGTCTAAGTATTTATTGGAAAATTATAATAAAAGTTATAAATGTATGTCATCATCGAAAAATAGGAAGATTGTTGCGCCAAATGTAATTTGAAGAATAATAACATATATTTGTAGAGTTTTAATGATAACAATATAATTAAGAACAATCGATACTCTAATGTATTTATTTTTATGTGTTGAAAAATTTGAAATCATATAAGAAATAAAGGCATGTTCTTCTATAGAAAGAAATGATCATTTGTGTCAAAGTTAACAACTTTGATCATTTAGACCTCAAGGATAATTGATCATCTATGTCTAGATGAAGAAAATGATCATTTATATCAGATTCAACAAGATTGATTACATGATCATTTGTACTTAGGTAGAATAATGATCATCTGTCCTCAAAGAATGAGAATGATCATTCATACTCAATGAGTTAACAAGGTTGGCTATTTTTTTCAAAGCTAATACGACCATTTATACATCAAGGCAAACATGATCATCTGTACCAAGACAAACAATCATTTGTACTTAACATAAATTTCATATATGCTTATATGAAGATCGGATAACATATATGTTAAATATGTAATTCTTTGTGTCAAACATAATTGTAAGTTCGACAGAGAGTCAGATGAAGTCATTAATAGTTGTATATGCTAGATTTGATAGAGAGTCGAATACAACTTGTCGAAGCAAATGTTTGTTAGTTACTTTGAAAATTATTTGGCGAACAAGTAATCTCATTATAAATATGGAGGTACCCTGCTATTGTAAAGTGTGGATGAACAAAAAAATTCAGTGAGAATAAACGCAGAGAGAAGTACTGCAAAATTTAATACATCTTCCTTTTTCTCTTAAAACCCTAATTTTTCTTTTTCTTCCCCAAATTTACTTTCACATATTTTTTTTTCTTCTAAAATCATTGCGTGAGAGAATCTTCTTACGACCAATAAGTGGTTAAATCACACGAGTGAAAAGTGAGGAGTGAGAATCGTGAATCAATCAAAAAAGTTATTGAATCTTGTTCAGTCAATAGGAATTCCAAACACTATATAGTGTCACTGAATATTTGTAAGGTTCGCAATAAATTGTCTTATTACTTTTGGGTGTTCATTGATCAGGAAAATCCGAACCAAACCGAAATCCAAACCAAACCATAATGTTTGGATCAGACTTTTTAGTTCAAGCAAAAGTCGAACCAAACCAATAAAACCCAATATTAATTGGTTTGAGTAACAAATTTTCAAAATTCTACTCGCGAGCCCCTCTACCTGAACCAACCATTTTTATTCATGTAATTTATATCATCATTATCATAAAAATTAGTATAAGATATTCAACTTCAAAAAGAAAAAAAAAATGAAATGTCATTTGTCATATTCACAACCTATATGAAAAAAAAATAAAGAATTTTATATTATTATAAAAAATTAATCAATGTAAATTAAATTTTTTTTATAAAAATATTTATGGACATTTATTTTTAAAATATCTCATCAATCAAATTCAAATCAATTAATTATTTCTCAATTTGATTCCGTTTGGACTTTATTAGAAAAAAGTGTAAATTCAATAATAATATAAATAAATATAATTTTTTAATAAAAAATGTTTTGACCCTGGGTCTGTTGCATAGATATGATATAACATGGTGATCGACCAATCAATTGAATTGAAGATGAAATAGACTAGTATGCAGTAGTAGCTTTCATAAAACCTCCTTTTCTCTTCTCTCCCACTCGCTTCGCTGTGTTTTTTCCTCACTCTTTTTCTAAACCCTTTCGCATCCAAATTAGATCTCAATTCACAGTTATGAACTCTCGCAACAAGGTTTGTTACTTCCCCTCTCTCTAATCATCCATGTAATCGCACGTTTCAATTCAATTTCTGCTTCAAATTCTTGTTTTCTATCCTACTCTTCAGTTTTATTCATACAAGTAGTTCCCATTCGCCATGCATAAATTCAGTTATTGTTCTTAGTATTTCTTTCCAACTCAGATTGATTTTCCTTTTCCTTTATTTTTAGATCTTTCAAATTCATCTGCTAGTGTTCTGTTACGTTTTTTTGTTTATTGAAGATTCCTTACAATAATTTAGATGCTTTGAAACGATGATAACACCGGTTGCAGTCGTACACGTAGTGAAACACTCCTTTCACCAATCAATGAAATAGTCAAATTCATCACTGGCACTAATTTTGTCCATTTATCATTATTTAATATGAAAATAATAATTTCTTATTCTGTTATTTTTTTGTGTGTATAGAAAGAAAGTGACCCCTAAATTGAATGTAGAAAAGTGCAGGTTCGTTATCATCAGTGCCACAGTTTGGGGATTGGGAACAGAAGGGGCAAGTACCTGATTATTCACTTGATTTCTCTAAAATAAGGGAAACAAGGAAACATAACAAATCAAATATTTCAAGAGCAAGTTTTGGAAATGAACAAGAGTTCAATATAGATTCAACCTCAACCTCCACCACCGCCCAAAGCCACAGCCACAGCAGTGACCAGCAACAACACGTCCCTCGCTATCATCAAACAATCTCTCCCACTGTAAGATTAATTCTTTCCTAAATTTGTTACTATTATTCTTTAATTCTCTTTTGTTGCCTCATTTTCTATACAAATTAGTAGTTGAAGATAGTTTTAACAAATAATTTTTTTGTATAAGTCTTATAAAATATATTTAAGAAAAAAAAGAATATAGAAATTAAAAGACTAGGTCAAAATTCAGAAGTAAATTGCCAAGACATGATTAATTAAAAGGGTATATATATTAATTAATCAAATAAAAAAGATTCCAAAATATTTAAAAGGGCAGATAATATTCTTCCTGTCCTTGGATTTGGTTAGGTGGGTCAGTAATTAGTTTATTAGACAATATGGGTCCATTTCAACTTTTTGACAAAAAAAAAAGTTTAAGATTTGCTCTAGGAAATAAGGGATGTTTCTTTCCCTTCTAAAATTTACATTCATGATAATAAATAACTACGGACTAGTTATACTAATATTTGTTAAAAGTTAAAAATTATATATTTTTATGTATAAAAGTTTATGGGAATGAAACAGAAGAAACTAGGATAGGTTAATAATGTAAATTTATTTTATATTCTTAATCAATTATAATAATGGCTTTCAATAAATCAAATTATAATAAGTCATTCTTATATTCTTATATTCTTGTGTTATATTCTTATATTCTTATATTTTTATATTCTTGTCCAAATAATAAGTCATTCTTATATTCTTGTGTTATTATAATTATAAAAGTTATTCTTAATCATTTTCTATCTTAAACAATACTCGTAATGGTAACTTTGAGTAACCATTATATGTCATGTTACTTTTTAAAATTAATTTATTAGTAATTTTTAAATTAAAACCAATTTAATTTGAGGATAACAAATATTCAACTAAATTAAAAATATCAAAGACTTTATGATAAACCATCTATTGAAAAGGTAACTTTTATTTTTGGTACATGAAAAATGTCATTTAATCGATAAAAGTGTTTTCCAATAATAAATGAATTTTTAATCCGATTTAAGTTAATGTTGGATGAAGTCTTCTTCTTCTCACTTTTTGAGCATTTTTCCACTTGGGTATTTTCAAACATTTTTTCGCCTAGAAAAGGTGCTTGATCAATTCATCCTTCCTATTTAAAAACTGTTTGTGTTGAACATTTCCTCCAAAAATCATTGTTTCTATAAAATAATATTATTATATGAATTCTTTTTCCTCTCTATATTCTCCTTTGATTTCTGCTATTAAAAGAACTTTAAGACTCCGGACAACAAATAGAATCGAATAAATTTAGAAATATTGTGAGATGACATTGTAGAATAATGTAGTTGAAACATACACATATTTTTCTAGCCTGAGAAATAAAAGGGCATGCTTAGTCTGTTTGGTTCAATCGAGGGGAGGGGAGGGGAGGGATTTTTATCGAGGGGAGGGGAGGGGAGGGGAAGGGAGGGGAGGGATTTTAATTACATATATGTTTGGTTCAAAATATGAAAGGGGAGGGGAGGGGAGGTATTTTATTTACAAATATGTTTGGTTCACAAGGGGAGGGGAGGTATTTTAAAACTAATTTACTTTTTTATCCTTCTAATTTTACCATAAGACTTGTGATATTTACCGTTTATATCTCAAATACAAATTTATTGACGAAATATAAATATTCAATTAGAGATCATCATAAAATATTTTTAAAAAATGCAACGATTATAATATATAATTGACAAAATTACAGTTTTGGTCCCCATATTATTATAAACAAAAATATTACGATAACTAAAATTAACATTAAAATATGAAAAATAAAATAAAAAATTTAAACAAATATAATGATAGTAAGATGAAGATATAAAAATACAAAAAAAAAAATTTATTCAAAATAAAACTTTTAACATTGTTATAACTCATACTACAATTATATATTGATATGTAATATAATACAATAAATTATAAAATAATTAAGTTATTACAAGAAAAATATTAAATAAAAATGAGTAGAATAAAACACATGGGAACAAAGTTGAATCATAATAATAAAAATAATGAAGTTGCCATTAAAAAAATGAAAGAATTATAATAAGGTGACAAAAATTAAGGTATAATATTAATAAAGACAACTAAAAATTTTATTAAATAAAAGTGAGGATAATTTTGTCAATATAATAAAAATACATGTTATCATAACTCTTCTCCCTCCCCTCCCCTCCAAAACCCCCCAATTTGGGGGAACAAAAAAATGCTTCATGAGGGATTCTGATTACCTCCAATCCCCTCCCCTCATAAAAAATTGAACCAAACACACCTATTTTAATATATTACCTCCCCTCCCCTCCAAAACCCCCCAACCAAACAGACCCTTAGTTAACAATAAAATACATGGAATATTTTAGTGGGACCCAGGCTGGTTTGAAAGAGATGTAAATTGATATGTGTATTATTAATTACAGGAATGCTATGTTTACACCACATTCTACACCCATTTCCTACACCGTATACACTGTTCACCGTATTTATACGATGAACAGTGTTTTTTGTAATAAAATAATATATTTTTTAAAATATTAATTTTTTTTAAAAAAAAATATTTATTTTTAAAATTTATTTTACAACACAAATATAAGATTGCGCATTAACCAATTTTACAGTTGCATTAACCACAAAAATCTACATCATTAACCAATTATTTTATTTATAATTTATTAACCACTTTCACTACTTCATTAACCAATAAAATACATACTATTAACCATATTCTGGGAAATTTGTTCACGTATTTGTGAACAGTAAATTGGGTGTAGGGTGTAAGAAAGAGTGTAAGAATAGCATTTTTCTATTAATTATTAGTGCATTTTGTATGGAAGAACATCTTTTACATCATTTTTAATTATTTAATTCTGTATCCCTTACAGACAAGGAAGAGCTTCCTCAGCTATTTCAACTGTTGTGGGAAAGCCTAATATGATGCTTAGGGGCAGTTATGCTTCTTTTCCTCCGGTGATAATTGCTTAGAGACAATGATGATGCTTCTAATTATGTGATGATGCTTAGGGGCAGTTATGCTTCTTTTCCTCCGGTGATAATTGCTTAGAGACAATAATGATGATGCTTCTAATTATGTGATAATTATTTTCTTCTTGGTTTAGAGTTAAAAGATGAACTAAAAAAACTTCGTTTGTGATGTTCTCTATGTTTAAATTTATTAATTGTCATTTTTGCTTGAAATCTGACTTATGGATCAAATTTTTTTTTATTTTATTGGAAGATTATTTATTAAAAAACCTAAAAGTCAATTACAGAAGAAATATCTGAGTACGGAGGACACTTCCCAATCAAGTTTTAGAGCCTACTCTATCACCAAGGCCGACTAAATACCGGGCAATTTGATTATGAGACATGTTTAAAAATAATAGGTTTTAACACAGCATTAATAGAGACTCGATTTATGCAGTCCACAACTGATACTGCATTAGATTGAATCAGAACCATATCCATCGTCAAGTCTATCCATCGTCAAGTCTAAAGCCATTTGCATAGCCCATCTTATAACCAAAGCTACTGCCGTTGCAGGGTCAATCTCCATAACCTCTTTTTTGGTGGCTGACAGAATGGTATCTCTGTCTTATGTCACCATCACGCACCTCATGGAAATGGTGCCATCATGGAAGCAGCTGACGTCCACTTGAAGCACATTGAAGCTTCTGAATTTTAGATATGCACCGATGTCTACACAGGTTTCTTTCTTACTCTCAGGTTTGAATTTGATGAGTTAAACTCTTGGACTCAGTCTATAGCACTTTCCGCCACCAACTGAGGAATAAAAGCTTCCTTATTGAATAGAGTTTTATTCCTAGTAGTTCAAATATTCCACAGTGTGACACAAACTAATTGAGTGCCATAAGGGTCATTGTCATTCAACCACTTGTCCAACCAATTATTAACATCAGTAGATGGTGCAATGTGTAAGCCAAGGGGAAAAAAAACATATCGGTTTATAAATACTGCAATGCAAGAAGAGGTGTTGGATTGTTTCAACACTAGTGTGGCACAGAGGGCACTCAGGTGTGGTCTTGATCCCTTTTGTAACAGGTTCGCTATGGTGGGAGAATGTTCTTTCCTAATCTCCGTATGAAGTTCCTAATTCTGGTATGAACAGGGGTTGCCCAAAGCTTTTTCCATATCTTCATTTGATTATGGCTCGAAGGACCAGGTATAACAGTTCCTCTTACTTCCAAGCAAGTGATATGGCGTTTTAACCAAGTAATACCCATCTTTTTTATAATACCAGATCAACTTATCATTAGGTTGGCTCCAGGAAAGTGGGATACTTGTGATTTGGGTGGGATCGAAATAAGCTTTTATGAGATCTTGCTTCCAACAACAAAGGTCCTCATCAATGAGCTTACTCACTATAGTTCATTGTCAAGTCCTCGATCAGGATCGTGGATCTTTAAACAAGCAGCATTGGGGAGTCACTTATCTTGCCAAACTTTCACTTTTAGATCATTATTAATCCTCCATCTCGAGACTTCCTCTACAAGTTCCTTGGAGCCTAAGATACTTCTCCAGGCATAACTAAGGGTGAATCCTAGCTTTACTTCTCTAAGGGTAGTCCTTGGGTAGTACCTATTTTCCAACAAATAGAGGTAGGTATGGCAATAAATAGGATTTGGACAGGGTACTATAATACTCATCCCCATACCTGCAATTTGAAAAAATCCTCGTACCCGAGCCCATGCTTGCTTGGGCGCCAAAGCTAGCACTTGTACTCGTGTCCTATGAATATGTAACTACTCATACCCGTACTCATTGTCCGCACTCCTATTAAAAATAAATAGATCGATTATAAAATATCATATCATTTTAAGTTTTTAAAAATATCAAAATGTTTTCAAAAAAAATATTATTGAAATAAACGAACACTTATGTTAAATATGTAATGGTTTAACACTGATATACATTTTAAAATTGATAGACATACATTTCTATATAATAACATAAATTACAATATATAAATATATTGTGCGAGTATGGGGTGGATGGGTACCAAGGTGCCCATACCCGTACTCATGCCCGTTTATTTTGTGAGTACTTACCTAAGCTCATAGTCGCACCCATTTTTGCGGGTTTTATCTTACTCATTATGGGTAATTTTGTGGACGCCCATTAGAGATGAATTAAATTGCCATCTCTAAATAGGCCCCTCCTATTAAGAGCCTCAGGAATGTTTCCCAAGTAGACTTAGGTTAAATTCCCCAATTCCCTTAAAACCCATACCTTTCATACCTTTTGCCTTAGCCAACTAATCCAGTGAATTTTCTTGTTGTCTTTGAAGGATCCTCGTCAAATTTTGGCCAAGAGAGATTCAATCTCGTTGCAGCATCCTTCAGGAAACATGAAGCAACTCATGACATACATGGGTATGGCTTGAGCAACCGATTTCATGAAGACTTATTTTCCATCGCCAAACATATACTTTTCCTTCCATCTTCCAAACACGATCAATCACCTGGGTAAAAATATCCTTCTTGTATCTACCAAAAATTGTCGGTAAATCTAAATACCTTGAGTGAGCCACCACTTTCTTTACTCTCATCGTATTCTAGAATATTTTTATAACTTCTTCCATGTTTCGACTGAACGATGCTTTTGATTTCTCGAAGTTTACCATCTGCCCTGTTGAATCCTAGCACTTTTAAAAAGTTTCCATAATATTGTCTACTTCCATACTTGAAGCCCGAGCGAAAAGCAAACTATCATCATCAAATAGAAGGTGCGTGATGACTAGTGCTTTTCTCACCACCAGAATGCCATGGATTTTCCTTGCATATGCTTCCTTCTTCAACATTGCAGAAAAAACATCTGCACAAAGAAAAAATAAGGGTAGAGATGATCTCCTTGATGGAGTCCCCTCTAATTATAGAATCATTTACTTGGTTGACCATTTGACCGACACTTGATAGGTGACTGATTCCACGTATCTTTTGATCAATCTCACCATTGTCTCCGAAAATCCCATTGCCTCCAAGTTCCTTCAACAAAGTTCCACTTGATTTTGTAGTAAGCTTTAGACATGTCTAGCTTGAAGGCCATCAGGCCTCTCTTCCCTTTTGTCTTTTTTTTCATCTAGTGGAAGCACTCAACACCAATTAGAGCATTATCTGTTATGAGTCTCCCTTTAACAAATTCACTTTTTTATTCATCAATGGTGTCAAGCAAGATATGTTTTACTCTATTAGCTATTGTCTTCGTTACTAGCTTTGTGATCACGTTGCATAGGCTTATTGGTATGAAGTCATTGGGGGAGCTAAGGTTCTTTCCTTTTGGAATCAAGGCAATGAAAGTTTTGTTAATCTTAGGGGGGTCATGGTTATTGTTGAGAATATCTAAAACCAAATCTTTGACATCCTTCTCAATAATATGCCAATACTTTTGGTAAAAGAATGCAGGGACCCTATCCGGCCCATGAGCCTTTAAGGAATGAATTTGATGAAGAGCTTCTTCCACTTCATGATCCTTGTAAACCTCTGCGCACAATTGTGACACCCCGAATTTTAATTGGAATATTTTAATTTATTTATTTAATTAAGAATGTTCAATTTTGGTGATTTTTGGTTAATTGGTGGAGTATTGGAAAAATGTGCATTTTTGGGTATTTATTTGATTAATAGCATATAATATTAATTTATTAGTATTATTATTAATTGAAATGAATATAAGTTAAATAAGGGTAATTTGGGCATTTGAAGGAGTTAGTAAGGGTAATAAGGGAAAAGCCCAAATTGTGAGGCTCAAGACTAGGTTTGACAAAATAGAGTTCTGAAGGGAATTATAATTCATTTGTGTTAACCGTGGAAAGTTTGATGGCCAGAGCTCTGAAGGAAAGGTTGGAGGCAGAAGATTCCCAGAGTTAATCGTGAAAGCTTTGAATCGGCTAAGGTATGGGGAGTATAGCTTTTCATGATTTTCCATGTATGTCTTTCGATGTGTTTATGGTTGATTTAAGATTTAAGGTATTTTGGGTTGATTGTGGGAAAATTAGGGAAATTGATGATAAGACTCTGAGGTTATGGCTAGTGGTATGTATCACTGAATATTGATACGAGGAATTAGGAAACCTTAGGCCTTCGTGGCCAAAGCCTTGCAATGTTATAAGTCTGACCCTGAAGGGATTTGATATGGGAAATTATGATGCCTTGAGTAATTGTAGGTAAATAGTGTTTTAGGATGTAAATATGTCCCAGAATTGGCCTAATAAACCGTAGGTTTTGTGCCGTTATCGCCGTATGACCTTAGGGATAATTTAGGGATGTTTTGGGGGCATGGGGTGTGTGAATCGTATGAGTTTTTTGGTAGAAATCGGTTCTGGTGCGTAGCAGATTTTGCTGTCATCGCATTGTTCGCCTTGCGAAGAAAAGCTTCGCCTAGCGAACCACGTTTTCCTAGACTCGCCTAGCGAAGAAAGCTTCGCCTAGCGAAGAAACTTGTCCCGAATCGCCTAGCGAACATGCCAGCGAACGTAGCAGAGTTTCGCGAATGCTGATCGTATGCAACAATGCCTTGATGTTTGATTTTGTGATTTCTGTGATAAATTAACATGAGTTTTATGTGATGTATACATGATGACATGATGATTTATATGACTTAATATGATGATATTACCGTGACTTTGATGAATTATATGATGATATGAGATATGATGATGATTGACATGATGATGAATATGATGAATGATAATGCACCTATGATGTTATATGAGGATGATTTGTGACGTGTGCATCATGCATTCATGTGCATCCGAACTTCGGTTTAGGACCTCGATTACTTTGGCTTCAATCCCACTGTGTGGATGTGAAGTGTTTTGATGTGCTCCGGTTCTCAAGTAGAATCGATCCTATTGATGGGGATCTATTGAGGGTTGATGGCCCAGTGTCCATCGAGCTGTGATGATTGGTACCAC